TATTTTCTCCAGAATGTCATACAGTTGGAATCCTATAGTACACAGCCTCTTCAGATTGGCTTCTTTCACTTAGCGATATGCATTTAAGGTTCCTCCACATCTTTGCACAGCTTGATAGCTCAATTATTTTTTATCACTGAATAATACTCCATTGTATGGATGTGCCACAGTTTGTCTATTCACCAGATTGAAGGACATCTTGGTTGCTTCCAATTTTTGGCAATTATAAATAAATTCTTCTTCTTCTTTTTTTTTTTTTTTCTGCTTTATCTCCCCAAACCTCCCCTGTACACAGTTGTACATCTTAGTTGCAGGTCCTTTCTAGTTGTGGGATGTGGGACGCCGGCTCAACGTGGCCTGACGAGCGGTGCCATGTCCGCATCCAGGATCTGAACCCTGGGCCGCAGCAGCGGAGCGCACAAACTTAACCACTCGGCCACGGAGCCGACCCCTAAATTCTTCTTAAAAAATTAAAAATGACTGACACTTACAGAAAAGTTGCAGGAATACTACAAAAACCTTCCAAATAACCTTTACTTAGATTTTCCTATTAACATTTCACGCCACGTGGTTTACTATTTGAGCTCTCTCACTGCCTTGCTCTGTACATGCATTTATTTCTAAATCATAAGCACGTTAATGTGTATTTCCTAAGAACAAGGATAGAACCAAACACTTGCTGTGGATATCCCCAGAGCAGATAATTAAACCTCAGCTGTCAAGGAAAGAATAGAAATGATGATTCTTTAATTTCATTTCATACAAGAAGTGTTATTTATTTAATCAAGAAGGATACCTTCAAAAAGGAGCTCAGGTGGCAAACTGGATTTATGTGCTTCTCTGCTGTGCTCTTCTATTGAGAATAGCATGGGCCAAATGATCCAGAATCATCTCACCCCAGAGCTTGAGGTGTCTCTGGACAAGCCCTAGGGTGCAAAGGTGATTCATGGGTGTCCCTAGGTGGTAGGCTTTTTGAACAGAAGCCCCCTAATATCTCATTACAAAGTCTTTGGAATTAGATTTGCCTTAAAACCATTTCCCCCCATAAACACCTTGACTGATTCTCTAGCAAACAGTGTTATATGACTGTTTTAATATATTCATAGTTTTACTGCTAAAATCTTTGACAATTGGTGAGCAGTAAGAGAAAGGAGACAAACCCTCCATATTCTGGTCTTTTTAACTTATCAAAACATTTTGACTGATTATAGTTAATGATACTGTCCTGAATACCTGAAATTTGCTAAGAGTAGATCTTAAGTGTTTTCACCGAAAAGAAAGAAAAAGAAAATCCTAATTATGTGAGGTGACGGATATGTTAATGAGCTTGATTGCGGTGATTATTTCACAATGTATATATCTGTCAAACTATCAAGTCATACACCTTAAGTACACATAACTTTTATTATCAAATATGACTTCAATAAAGCTGGAAACAAATTTTGAAGGCCGAGAAAAAGCACAGAGTTGTTGCACTGTAACACGGTGATTTCAATAAACACGATGGGTAAATGTAACATGGATTGGAAACCATTCAAATCTTGATTCCCAGGCAGCTGACATGCATTTGTTTCCCCACTAGTGGCCTGCAATTAGAGGGAGGTATATACACTACTCAGCATTTCAAGGAACAGAAAGTGCCATAGATCAGCACAACTCAAATGCAGATAATTCAGGCTCAAGTGACAAGAAATCATCACATTGACTCAATGCCAAAAATGAAAATTCCACATCCTGGGTGGAGGAGGGCAGTTTACCCTTAGCAAAGTTCCACGAATCCCGTGTGTGGCCCTTATGGACCACCTCAGGATGGTTCGATAACCGGTTAACTCAGCTGGGAAGAGGGAAAAGGAAAAGATACCCAAACGTGTGTGAATCTTCTCTTTTCCATGGTACCTTACCCCACTCCCTCAGACTATTGTTGTGTTATATATGTTAATCAATCGCCTTCTTTCTTTTAAAGCTGACACTCTCTACAGCAAGCTCTTCCTTGATCAAACAGAGCAGAAAATGAACTGAGATGGCACCGAGAGAGGAAAGCACACTCATGGTGGTTCTAGGAACTGTAGCTCCAGAAGATGCCATTTGCAAATGTCATGGGACAATATGTGGTTTCAGAATTTCTGAACCAGAAATCAGTCTCCAGGGAAGTGTGATCTTGGTTACTATGGCACCACACTTATTGGAAATAAATCAACTTCTTTGTGGTTATCACAGAACCAGCAAATGAAAAAAAAAAAAAACACAGATGGATTAAAATGGAGCCCTTGCTTGCTTTAGTCAAAGTGTGAAATTACATCCAAGAGTACAAAGAGAAGAGAGGTTGCTTTGCAGTGGCATCCTTCTTGCAGTAGCTCAGTATTTAATACATAGCAAGGAAATTTGTTTTTTTAGGAACTTTAAAAAATATCACATCTATTTTCTACCCACTCAGCAAGACAATGATTAGGTTTTGATGGGCTAACGAAATTCGTGCCAACTGTCTACTTTCCCCTGTTTATTGGGAAATTTGTTTTAAAATGTTCAACCATATTTTGAGAGCCCAGAATCATGGAAAAGATGTTCTAAACTAGGAAATGACACATACAGCTAATCCGATATACTTTCATTGAAAATCAGGCCTTATGTGTAAGATTATACCACATCCCAGCTGACAAACTTGAGGTGATAATTACACTCTGTGGAAAGTGATGGACTGAGGTTCAAGCATATTGATTTTAATCATGACATATCCTTAAAATGGTTAACAATATTATATTGAAAATTGAACACGTTTTAAAAAGTCTATGGAGTTTAATTAAGCAAGGTAACATGATCTCAATTAAAAACGCTAATCAATCTGTGGGTTTGGTCCTGATGCTAAATTTGATCTTTTTTAAAAAAAAAATTTTTTTTAAAGATTTTATTTTTTTTCCTTTTTCTCCCCAAAGTCCCCTGGTACACAGTTGTACATTTTCAGTTGTGGGTCCTTCTAGTTGTGGCATGTGGGATGCCACCCCAGCATGGCCCATGTCCACGCCCAGGATCCAAACCGGCAAAACCCTGGGCCGCCGAAGCGGAGCGAGCAAACTTTAACTACTCAGCCATGGGGCCCACCCCCCAAATTTGATCTTTTGATCACATCTTATTATAATCAGTAGGACTGATGACTGCAGAATATGCAGCCACCTTTTTTAAAGGAAAAGAATCATATTCTAAAATGGTGGACTATTTCTGCCCATAACTAAACGAACAAGAATGTTTTGGTTTATCACTCATTTAACCTGCTGACTTAAAAGTCTTATGTGTGGCTCTGAAGGACATCATTAGGACAACTGGTGAAACTGAAATACAAAACTATACATTAAATAATATTGTATTTATGTTAAATCTGCTGAATTTGAGAACAGTGCCATGGTGACGTAAGAGAATGCCCTTGTTTTGAGGAAATAAGGGTGAAGGAACGTAATGTATGCAATTACTTTTAAATGATTCAGAAAAAAAGTATATATATGGAGAAGAGAGAGAGAACGGTAAAGCAAAAGTGGCAACCAGTACCAGAAACTGCCTATCTCCACATTTCTTACACGAGGAAAATCATCCCCTAAGTCAGTTAACTCGTTTACACTTACTTAGCAGCTCAAAGTGTTCTGGATAACTCAGCCGACGCTAAGTCACCTTCAACGTATATGGAAGCACACCATAAAACTGACCACTCTGAAAAGAGAAATGGACTTACGCTTCTAGTAACTTACAAAGCCTGGTAACTTACAAAGTCACTGAACTACTGGGGCTAAAGTGTGAGTACTTTTAAGGTGCCAACATCAAACTGAGATTTGTGATGGGTGCTCTGTAAAATGCAAAGTGCCATACAAGTAGGAGTAGTTTTTTAAACTGTGTTTATGCTTTTTTTTTCCTTTGATGCTGTGTTTAAGATGTCAGCCAGAAGAGTTAACACTTGTAGAAACACATTTTCTTTCACACAGGAGTTATGTTCATTGTTTGCTTGTAAGGAAATCCCCCTGAATCAGAATTTAAACCTTTTTCTGCACACCTACATAGGAGGTAACAAATTATTATATTGTCCATAACTCAGAAGCTTAGAAAGGCGAGTACCTATTTCTGGCTCCTTTTAGGAGACATAGCCATAATAAAAACTGTTGCATCATGTGCCAGGCACCGTGCCAAGTGGTTTACACACCTTACGTAATTCTCACAAAAACTCACCCAGTTTGCTGCAATTATTTCATCATATGCAAAATGGAGAAAACAACAGCACTTATCTCACAGGGCTGTTGTAACAATTAAAAGAGACCATACATGAAATATTTAGCACAGTCTTGGCAGAAAAGTACAAAATACACCTCAACCATTTATTGGTACCCTCACTTTACAGATAAACAGACACAAAGAAAAGCAAGTGGAAGAAACAGGATTTTCAACCCAGGTCCGACTCCCCAAGTTTCTGCCTTTTTCTTTTTTTTAATTACCTCTCCGCACAGGAGGGGGAGAGAGTAAACCCCAAAGACAGCAGCTGAACTTAAAGCCTGGAGACCCCTATTCTGATTTTTGTCCTCGACTGTCCTCACCCCCTACTAATCCCTGGCTAAGCTGCTGCTCACTAAGTACTTGCTGAATTAATGAAAGACTAGGTTTCTAGCCCAAGTTAGCCGGATCTGTCTGGCTTAGGTAGAACTTCCACGTCTCTGCCTTGGTGCTCCCGTCTGCAGACCCGGAAGAGGCTGTACTGATCCTGTTCGGGGAGAAGATTCGTCTTCACCGCCCAAAATCAAGTTACCGAAGGCCGTCGCGCTCCGAAGCACTAAGACTTCAGGGTATCAACGTACACTCACAAAACTCTACGACCAGCCCTGCCCGCAGCCGTCCCTCCCACGGCGACAACCGCGCGCTCCCGCGTCCCTCCCAAAAGGCGCAGGCGCAGGCGCGGGCGGGGGGGGGCGGGGGGGGGGGGCGCCGCACTTCCCGGAGAACTACAACTCCCACAATCCCAATCGGCAGAACCACCTCGCGCTCCCGGTGGGAGCGGAGGCGGAGCGGATTGCCCCGGGGCAGGACGGAGCCTTCCGAGATGTCCGGCCTGTGTCCTCTTGGGTAGAGTTCGTTTTAAGAGAGACTCTTGTCTTGCCTGGTATGGTAGGACACCTGTCCCTATGAGGTATGACTCTGCCTTCCGCCTCCGCTGAGATCCCCTCAGTATAAAACGCCAGATGGTCCAGGCCGGCGGAGGCGCTCGGTGCCGGGCGCTCTGGAGTCACCTGAAGAGTCAAGGGCGGCCTGCGCACGCATGCGCAGAGGGCAGCATGGGGGCCCGGAGCCGCTGAGCCGCTGAGCCCTTTTGCAGAGTCTGTGAAGGTGAGTAGGGGGCGGGGCGGGGCGGGGCGGGGCGTGTCCTGGGTCGGGACTGACCACCCCCTACCCTCCCTCGCCCCCCGCGGCATGTTCTCGTGTTGGCATGACTACCGCCATCCCAATCAACTCTAAAAGCCATTGACCCCATTGTCCAGAAAACTGGGCTCCCCAGGAGCTCAGTTTTAGCATTTTTACATCAAAATCTCACTTCCAGTTAAACCACTTCCAACATTTCATTGCCGTTGTATGTACAAGTCTGCCTTCTTTGCCATGTGTTTTAGAAATAACAGCTAACATGTTGGGAGGGCTCACCTTTCTCTTGGTTTTCCCGGCATGTAACAAATAGCTCCTTCCTAATGAGATAGAGCTTAAAAGTCTTTTGGACGCTTGATTCTATTCAGTTTAGTGTCAGACTAGTTCCGTACTATGTTCTCTGATTCTTTTGTGTGTAAGTTTTCTCATGAGAAGACTCCTTGAGACTGTAAAGACCGTGATACATTAAAGAAATCGTGGTGCTGATGAAGTTTATAATATGCTGGAGATACAGACAGTTAAGCAAGTGTCTTGTGCCCTAACCCTAACCATTTTGCTTACACCTTGCTATGTGACTTGGTTATGTTGCTTAACCTTCTGGGCCTAGATTTTCTCCTAAAAGGAAAAGATTGGATTAGATGATCTCTAAGAACTTGCCAGCTGTAAAATTCTGTGGTTAGTGAGGAGTAGATTCCAGATTATGTCACAATATGTTAATGCTAAACATCAACTTCCGTTTCTCTGCTAACATAAGTGAAATAAGCTATAAGAATTTTGGCAGCAGCGTTAGAAAGAATTTCACCTTATTGTACTTGTAATTTCTTCTGTGTTGTTCAACATATCTAATTAGCTGGTAATACAACTTTTTTCTCCGTTTACTTCTTGTCGTTTTATAGAACATCACTAGGAAGAACTCTGGGTACAACAATGAACACAATGTATGTGATGATGGCTCAAATCCTTAGATCTCATCTGATAAATGCTTCAGTGGTTCCTAATCGAAGGAAAATGCTTCCATATCTTGGTGTTATTAGAAATAGGATGATGTCAACTCATAAATCCCAAAAGAGGATCACAGAATATTATAGGCTGCTGAATCTGGATGAAGGATGCTCTGCAGATGATGTCAGGGAATCTTTTCGTAAACTTGCCAAGCAATACCATCCGGACGGTGGCTCTGGTACCGCTGACTCTGCAACATTTATAAGGATCGAAGAAGCTTATAGGAAAGTGCTTTCCCACGTGATAGAACAAACAAATGCCAGACAGAGTAAAGTTGAAGAGGCAGAAGAAGAAGAAGAAAAATTCAAATATAAAACACCCCAACACAGGCATTATTTGAGTTTTGAAGGTATTGGTTTTGGAACTCCAAGTCAACGAGAGAAGCAATATAGGCAATTTAGAGCAGACCGTGCAACTGAGCAAGTGATGGAATACCAAAAGCATAAACTACAAAGCCAGTATTTCCCTAATAGTGTAACTGTTAAAGATGTAAGACAGAGTAAGGAACAAAAGATAACTCAAGCAATAGAGCGATTGGTGGAGGATCTCATTCAAGAGTCAATGGCAAAAGGAGACTTTGACAATCTCAGTGGGAAAGGAAAACCCCTAAAAAAATTTTCTGGCTGTTCATATATTGATCCCATGACTCACAACCTGAACAGAATATTGATAGATAATGGATACCAACCAGAATGGATCCTAATGCAAAAGGAAATAAAGGATACTATTGATCAACTCAGAGAGGCAATTTTAGTGTCAAGGAAAAAACTTGGGAATCCAATGACACCGACTGAACAGAAACAGTGGAACCAAGTTTGTGAGCAGTTTCAAGAAAACATCACAAAACTAAACAAGCGCATTAATGATTTTAACTTAATTGTTCCCCTCCTGACCAGGCAAAAAGTCCATTTTGATGCACAGAAAGAAATTGCCAGAGCCCAGGAAATATATGAGACCCTTATAAAAACAAAACAAGTCAGAGATAAAAACCCAAATAACATTGATCAGGGAGAAGGGGAGAAAACACCTGGAGTCAAGCCAGGTTTTCTAAACTGGATGAATGTATGGAAATTTATTAAAATATGACCATTTCAGTGTTCACAGTACTGCCCCAAATCATTTTCAGTTGCACTGACATCACACATAGAGGCTGATTTATTGCTATAACACAAGAGTTTGAGAATTGTGTGCCTCTGTACTTTTCAGAAAACCTGATCACGTCTCCAGTGTCAGGGAGAAAGCTGTAAGGAACTGAGCCAGCGAAATGTTCAACCAGCTTCGTTCTGAGCATATAGCAAGAAGAGAAAAGAACTTCCAAGAAAACAGCTTAATCCGTTTCAGAGTTTAAATATCAGTCGTCAGGTGAAATGAGTTAGGACAGGGACTCAGACTGGGGATCATAAAGCGTATTCCAACATCTTAGTGCAGTTTTAAGGTTTAATAACTTAAAAACAGTTGCTGTTTGCCATATTCAAACACAGGTACTTCAACAACAACAACAAAAACTAAAAATGTGTTATCAAAAGTCACAAAACTAAAGAAGTGTAAAATGTAGGCAAGTTAAACCTCCAGATGATATATGTTTTTTTGAAAATTTGCTGCATTTATATACCTGAGGTTATTAAAGCTCAAAACTGTTCTAAGACTTTTGGGACACTCTCTGCATGGTTGGAAATGTTAAGATCAGGAAACTAGCCTAATGGAGTTGCTGCACTCTTCTTTTTTTATAAAGGCCTTCTCCGTGGGTACTGAATTAAAAATATCTGGGTTGTACTTTTCCTGCCTAACTTCATGATCCATTGGCTGCAGCAATTGATCAGCCAAGCTAGTTGATTTAGTTTGTTCTAGAAATAAACCCCAGTGTCCACTTTTAAAGAGTCTGAGTGTATTTTCTGACCTTTTGGAGGTGAAAAAAAATCACTGGGTTCAGTGAAAACTTAAGATTTCACTTCTGGCTTCATGTCTAATCGGAGATTGAAATGTTAGCTTTTCACAAATCTACCTGCAGTCTGTGTCGTGTGTCAGACTCTCCAGAGGGTTTTTCACAGAAATGACAATCTCAATTTGCTGTCTTAGGGATCCAATTTCCTGTCTTAGGAACCCTATAATAAGCAGAGACAAGATGTCTGAATTTTATGCCAGTTTCCCCTTTCAGCAAATGACAGGAAACTGACATTCATGAGATTGTTGTGTCCCATCCACTTTCAGAAAATCTGATTTTTAGGTCTGTGTAATTGCTTTAACCACAGAATTGGACAACTAGCAGGATATGGAGAGTGGTCAAGAGGAGCAGATCTGTTTCCTTATTTAATCCAGAGCATTGTTATGGACGTGGTTCAGAAACATGACATTTGCCACTCCGATTTTGGAAGAACAAGTTATTTTGTAAAGTGTTTGATAGTTAAAACAACAAATAAAACTACATCTTCAAAAGGAGATTTCAAGCTTTTCTGCTTAGATGATGGGACATTAATTGGTATCATATACGATTATTTTATTGAATGAGTTATCGTTTGACTTCTCCAATGATCATATTACTCTAAACAAAATTGTGAACAGTATGAAGTAGAACTTTATAGTAAGAGCTATAGTTCTAAAACATTTTAGAAGGTATGATTCTGGGAATCTTGTCAAAAATGGGAATTAGGTATATATTACCTAACTGCATTGCAGCAACTTAAATGAAGGAAGCCACTTTCAATATTGGATAATGGGAAGGTAAGGTTACCAGAAAACTCTAGTAAATTCTTTCTTTCTTTCTTTTCTTGTGAGGAATATTGGCCCTGAGTTAACATCTGTTGCCAGTCTTCCTCTTTTTGCTTGAAGAACATTGTCCCTGAGCCAACATCTGTGCCACTCTTCCTCTATTTTATGTGAGATGCTGCCACAGCATGGCTTGACGAACAGTGCTGGGTCCGCCCCTGGGATCTGAACCTGCAAACCCTGGGCCACCAAAGCAGAGCGCAGAACCCGACCACTACGACACTGGGTGGCCCTCTGGTAAATTCTTAATTTTAACATGGCACACTTTATGTTTGTAAATGTCTTTATTAATAAAGTTAATTTTAATGATTATGCAATGGTCCATTGTATGAACAACTAATAGTAATAATAATAACCATATTTTTGGCTGACCACCTAAATAAGTGAATTTTATCTTTTCGATTGATGATATCAAAATTGACTGTGACATAGATAATCTTCTTAAGAGGGCAAATTCACTTATGTAGAAACAGATTTACTTATTTAAGTAACCAAATTCCAGGCCAGGAAAAAAGATTTTGGCCAGTTGATCGGAGTTTCTTGAATTGGAATTTGACACTTATTTCTCTTATGAGGCAGGATTGACCTTTCGCTGTTAAGTTTTCACCTTCTAACTTTGTCAGCTTTTCAGGTGTGGTGGTAATCTGTTGAGATTTATGAAGTCACTATTATATTAGGCACATATCAAACTCTGCCTGCCTTCCAGCCTTTTTGTGGATCCTTTCTTCAAACTGTAGGACTAGGACCCTGGCCCAACACCCAGAGGAGAGAGCCTCAAACTCCTGGCTTTGGTCTCCCAGCTCTGTGAATCATTTTTCTGCCCTTGCTCTATATGCCTGAGGTTCGGCACAGTAGTTGGCTACCTCAGGACTATGGTTTTAAATTCCTTGATAGAATGACCGCAGGACATTCGTTTTCTTCATCATGCCCCCAGAACACGATGGGGGTGCCCCTCCCAGAGATAGGAGTCTCCTGAAACCTTGTCTCTATGGCTGGGGCCTCTTACTTCCTGAAATACTTCCCTGCTGCCAACTGCCTGGGTCCCCATCACTGGGCCTCAGTCACTTTTTGGGACATTCCTGATACCTATCAGGGGCGACTCATGCTGATTTGCCTATTCCTAGAAGTGTTGCCTTTCCTTGTTGACAATGTTCTGTTTACTCAACGTACGTTTATTGAAGTCCTGAAAGGGAATCCACCATTCCACTGTCTGGATTCTCAGAAATCAGTAACTGAGGGGGGCAAATGGACCCCTCAGCCCCAAATGTAACCCTCAGATACTTTCCTTGGTATTACGGGTGTCAGCACCACCCCAGCTCCAGGCGGGGGACAGGGCTCCCTCTCCTCCTCTGGCCTAAGGATAGACCCACAATTGCTGTCATCATGCCTCTTGCTGGGCTGAGATCATCAAAATGCAACTTTCCTCAGGGCTCGGGGATGACAGAAGGGAAGGGAAGACAGTCCCTGGAGTGAGAGAATCTGGCCTGTGGCCCTCTCCAGTTTGCCTCTGAGCCCGGTCCCCAGCCTGCTGTGGAGTGGCCGTGCCCACCATTCTCCCACCTCTGGGAGAACCCTCGAATGGCCTGAGCATGCCTCCACTCCCCCAAATCTAGACCTAGGAAAGTAAGGTCTAAGGGGTTTCCTTTCCTGCCAAGACCAGTTTCAAAGCTCTGGCTTCCTCTTCAAGGACCCACATCTTCTCTAGATGATTGATGTATGCCACTGTCCCCCAGGCCACCTAAGTGACAGACCCTACCTGAAGGTCTCTAAGGACACATGCATCCAAATATACCCCAATAAGCTTGCCATTGTTATGAGAGAGACCTACACACACTTGCGGGGCGGGGTCCTTCCTGGTCCTCCCCTTGAGGACCTTGTCGTGAGGATTATGGTCCAGTGACAACTCACCTTTGGCATTTATAGCTGGGCCTCTATGGTCTCTGTGGTTTCACCTCTGGATCAACCTGGTTCCTTCACCTCGTCCTCTCAACTTTCCATTCAACCACAGTTTACACCACGATTTGCCCAGTTGAGTGCCAAGATTTTCAGTGAGCTTTGCTTAAATGATGCCATGGACAACTGTTGTCCTTTTGGCTGCCTGTCATGTTCCAAATGGCCCATCTTGATGGTGGCATGTGTCATTCATCTGGGGAAGATGTGGTTCTTAGCATAGGAAGTCAGAATTCTGAAGGTGGTCTTGGCAGGAGAGAAAACCCCTAATTTTCTTAAATATGCTCAGAAATGGGCATGTGACCTAGGCTCTGCCAACAAGACTTCTCCTTGGGAGATGTGGGTTCAGCATGAGGCACGGAAGGAAATGTGTGGGCTCAATGTGGCAGTTCCACTCAGCTGGTGCAAGAAGCAGTGGCTGCCAGGTGGAGCTCCTGGCACAGAAGTGATGGCAGTGGCAGTGGCAGTCAAGTTCCTAGCTTGTAGTGGGTGGTGGTGACCACAACAACTTCGTTGTTTTTCCCGCCAGGCTAGTTCCTGAGTCTGGTTTTAGGCATTGTTCCTGGAAACAACCTTGGGCTACTTTCTTCGGCCCTCCCCACATCCCTGTGTCCTTTAATAAATCCCTATTCTGCTTAATCCAGCTAAGCGGGGACTGCCATTTGCAACTAAGAACTGTGATTGATACGGATGAGATCACGAAAATCTCATGGCTCTGGGATGGACAGGAGGTACACACTGGATTGAGCTCATGGAGCACGTGGACTCTGGTTAAACTCTCAGCTCTACCGTGTTGCAGGTGTGTGATCCTGGGCGAATTACCAAACCTCACTGACCTACAGATTTCTGAGGTGTAAGCAGGAATAATAGGTTATTGTGAGGATTCAGTGAGATACATGTAAAGAATCCAGCTCAGTTACTGGTGCATGAATGAGCACTCCATTCTAAGTATTAAATTATATATGCTGTTGTGCTAATATAATAATAAATCGAAGTTCTTATTATTTTTGATTTGTTAGGAAAAAATGTTCCATAGATTTCTCTTGGGGGAGTATAGATTTCAAAGCTAGTCAATTTCCTAAAGTTCCTGAAACTGCTCTCTGTCATGCCTTCAGCTAGCAAGGGGCTCTAAATGAAAATGTAGAAGGAGCCAGTCAAGAAAGACCACATATTGTATGATTCCATTTATATGAAAAGTTCAGAATAGGCAAATCTATAGAGACAGAAGGTAGATTAGTGGTTGCCTGGGGCTGTAGAGTTTGGGAGGAAATGAGTAATGACCACCAATGATTAACGGGTTTTCTTTGAGGGGGTGATAAGAATGTTCTAACCTTGATTGTGGTAATGGTTGCACAACTCTTTAAACATACTGAGAACCATTGAATTGTGCCCTTGAAATGAGTGAATTTTATGGTATGTGGAAAGACTGTTTTTTTTTTTTTTTTTAAGATTTTATTTTTTTTCCTTTTTCTCCCCAAAGCCCCCCGGTACATAGTTGTGTATTCTTCGTTGTGAGTTCTTCTAGTTGTGGCATGTGGGACGCTGCCTCAGCGTGGTCTTATGAGCAGTGCCATGTCTGCACCCAGGATTCGAACTAACGAAACACTGGGCCGCCTGCAGCGCAGCGCGCGAACTTAACCACTCGGCCACGGGGCCAGCCCCATGGAAAGACTGTTTTTAAGAAAAGAGAAAAGTAAAAGAAAATACAAAGTGGTTCTGAATTTGGCAGGTCGCTTGCTACTTTTTTTTTTCCTGCTTTTTCTCTCCAAAGCTCCCCGGTACATAGTTGTATATTTCAGTTGTGGGTCCTTCTAGCTGTGGCATGTGGGATGCCGCCTCAGCGTGGCCTGATCAGTGGTGCCATGTCCATGCCCAGGATCCGTACCGGTGAAACCCTGGGCCTCTGAAGCGGAGCACATGAACTAAATCACTCCGCCACAGGGCCGGCCCCCCGCTGCTTTTCTATAAGCAAGAAATGTCTTCAGAAACATAACAAATAAGAGAACTGATTTAAATTGTGTTAACCTTAAAAACAAGCACCAATGTTTTAAGAACTTAAGTTTAGATGCTTTTACATCCACAGCAAAAGCTGATTATTACTTACAAATTTCCTCCCCAAAACCCACAAAACTTTGTTAATATTTCCTGGTATTTGCTACTGTGTCTTTCTTACAACAAATAGTTACTCTTCCCAATTGAGTGGTGGCCTTACATAAACAACAATCCACAGAATGGAGAAAAGGTAAGTAAAAGCAAATGCACATCTTGTAGAAATGACTGACAGAAAATGGTCTTTAATTACATATACAAAACTTTTAATTCTGAAACTCAGCAGGTGATCAAGCAGTAGTTAAGATGGCAATTCCTGTTACACATCATGTGGCCCACAGCCTCTCTTCTCTTTCTTCTCTCCAACACCCAAGAAAAAGTGTCTTGAGAAGCCATGACTCTGTGGCCTTCTGGAAATGAGTGTCAGGGAGCTGGCAGAGGGAAGAAGTGAGCCTTTGGGTCCCACTCTTCCAGACTTGAGTGTCTTTGGAAGATGCCTGGTGTAAATTTATCACTTACGATGCCTGCCTGTCCACAGCTCCACAGGGGCTAAGGACAGCAAATACAACAACTCGCTGATGAAGCGTTATATAGTACAACAAAGTAAGGTGTTTTTAATTTTGAAAATTCACACGTATACAGTAAAAAATTCTATCAATGCAAAAGGATAGGCA